TACTTCACGACTCAACGCAAATAAAATCGTACAAAGCAGAGCAGTTCAAAAGTTCAAACCGCGCAGGAGCTCACAAGGTCGCATGTTTGTCATCTCTATCTCATAGACGAATGAGGGATGACCTATCTAAGATTTTAAGATACTGAAGGGACCCTCACAACCTAGCAGGCACCTCTTCTCTGTCAGCGAAAACCCAACTTTAAGAGGACAACAGCTGAAATAGGTCAAACCTCGTGCATTGAAAAGAAGAAAGGACAAACTACTTCTCTCGTAAAGTGATCAACACCTGTAATAGACTTCCTGATGAGGTTGTCTCGGTGTCCACGCTGTAACTGTGCAAAAAAGACTTGATGAGATGTGGGACGTGACCTTTTCCGAATCAGCCTAAGGAAAATATCGTCAGTCCTTGGTGGTACTACGGCTCGGAGTACATCTTTAGCTTTCCCAAACGCCGCCTCCCCCTTATTTTATTTATAATTAACTATATCATCCCCACGTAATTCAACCACCTTCACCTTGTCTAAATCCAGCTCTCCACACCCTCCTCCCCGTGGTGGCTTACTTTTCTTTTCTTATCTTATCTATCTTTGCATGTCTGTGGGTACTCTACTGCTTGCCGGAGGGGTACTCGGATCTTCTGTTTAGCCTATGACTGATCAGCTGGTGCTGCCTTCATCGACAGCAAACCAGATTGACTTCCCTGCTCCGCTGCGTTACCCTCACACTACCAAGGACCGACCAACTCACCGCAGAAACGTTAAGAGACACACTTGGCCCGTAGATGCAGGAACCTGGACTACCATACTGGCTGAAGTCGCAAATCCTGCGAACTGTCCTGTTCTGCTCTGTCCTGTTCTGTCTTCTAAGCGATTGAAGATTAAAGATATATTGCATGGGGACTGGGTACATGGCCGATAGGGGACAGGATTCTCTGGATATATAGAGGATATCGTTCTACGCAGTCTGTACACTTCATTTGCTCTGTGGGCTGCTATGGCGCACTGGAGTTTATGGAGTTTATGGTAATACCAAGATCTTTTACCTCGGTGCTTAGTTCGATTGCTTCGTTGGCAGATTCCCCCGGGTAACGAGGATTGACCCCCGGCTCTCCCATGCTTAGGAGCTTAATAATAATAATAATAATAATAAGTGCATATTTTACGGAGCCCCGTGAGGCGTGCATAGGCATGATGAAATGTACAACATAATCCTCCGTATAGGAGAAGCCCAAAAGGAAAAGAAATTGAAGGTCGCAGTGGACATAATTACAAATAGAACACAGAGTGAACAAGGTATCAGATAAAAAAGGTGGGGGATGGCGGAATGCTCTAAGAGAGCAAGTCGGTGGAAGTAGGACGAAAAACAAGAATTGTTATACCGGATGATTGGAAACACGACAAGCAGTGGGTAAAATAACAAGAGGCGGCCTGCAGATCGTTGGACGGAAACCGGCACAAGAGCGGATAGAGTTGCTTTGGACAACTTGTTAACGGAAGCAAAAGAAATAATAGATCCGTCCAGTTTATACAATCTTCTAGTAGGCGTCAACCTCCATTAAACCATAGTGTAAATTTGGTCACCAATAATAACTATATAAGAACACAAAGATGAGTGATATGTGCACAAAACAATCTGGTTTCATCTTGTTTGAGTATTTTGGAGTTAAATACCCAGGTAAGATGGGACAAGTCACAAAGATACCGTTTGTGTTTTATATGTTTAAAAGAAAGCCATATGATTATGCCTTGTGCATGCTTCACAGGCTTCGTGAAATATACATTATTATTATTATTATTATCTAGCGAATGAATGCAATAAAAGACCATTTGGGACGTAGGTGGTTGTGGAGGTAGATATCACAAGTTACTTCACGTCATCAAGAGAGTCCTAAGCACACAGCATGAACCATTCGGTGAGGGTTACTGCGGAGCAACTAGACATTGAACCAATAGTGTGAGTCTGGGATTATTACCGGTCAAAATAAGAGTTAAATTGAAAGAGATTATTAGGTATGCCCTACCAGATAATGGATTGGATACAACTCTTATTAAAGCGAGTGCACTACTCCAATTTGGGCTAAACCAAGAAAAGCATTAAAAAATAACTACCCTGGATGAATCAACTGAGGCAAACTTTGTCAGCAGTGCTATTCAGGTACTACCTCTAAGTGAAACGAAATAAGTATATGTGCGGCAAGCCGCTATTACAACAGAATTATCCGTTCATGAGCCGGTTATAGATTCTCTGAAACAATGAAAAATTGGTCCCATTTGGAAGACTTTTCAGTAGAAAACATTGATGGAGACCTTCTCCTATTGATTGGGTGCGAAATACCGGAGGCGCATTGGGTATTCGACCAAAGGCTCGGTGGTCAGAAGAATCCTTGTACAGTTCGGACGCTATTAGGTCGGGTGATTTTGGGTCTTTACATTTTGCGTTGCATGAAAGAAAATCGGTCAACTGCTTGGTTGCAGAATACTCGAATTTAATGTAACAATTATTGGAAATGTACAATGCAGAATTTTCAGATGCCCAGTTACCAAATTAAGGCATTTTCATAGACGATACAGAGGCCATGGCTCTTGTAGAGTCCGGTACAATGTTCGTCGATGGGCAATTAGTGGTTCCTCTGCCATGAAAAAGGGTGTCAATACCAGTATGGGAAACTACGCATCAGCGCTCACGAGAATGAACAGCTTGAAGTGAGGCTTATTGATTGACGGAGCACTACGGTTTCGTTACGCACAGACGATGAAGATGACTATGGAGTAGGGATATGCCGTGCCAGTCCCAGGCGACTTTCATCGACGTTGGTATCTGCCACATCATTCAGTACTAAACCCAAAAAGGCCGGAAAATTAGCGCATAGTTTTGGATTGTGCAGCTAAATGCAAGGGGACACCAAAAACTATTCTGACGTTCCAGTTGCAGTTACTAGATAATCCGGTGACAGGAACAGTCATATTATCCATCGTCAGTTCTTAGTTTGGTCCACTAGGTCTTGTTGCTCCTCTGTGCCTCCCAGAGAAGCAACTTTTGCCAACATTGTGTAAATACAAAATGGGTTAGGACCAACCGCTCAGTGTATCAGATGTCAGCATTTGGGAAAGCGGGGTACGCTTTGTTAGGTGTCTAGAAGTAAATAAGATCCCAAGAAGTATAAGCAACGGTAACTGGGGAGAAGGGTGGAGAACAGAGTTGCATGTTTTCTGTGATACATCCGACAAAGCTTATGGGCCGTCGCTTACGCGTGGTGTGTTTCAGCAAGAAAGCCGACTCATTGTGTTGCTATTCAGTAAGTCTCAAGTGGCACCTAATAAACCTGTATCCATAACGCGACTGGAACTGTCTACGGCAGTCCTCGGAATCAAAATAGGAGAGCTGATACAAAGGACTCCTTCGGAAATGTTCAGCAAGGTGTGGTACTGGACGGATTAAATGATTGTCAAATATTATATAGAAAATAATTCAAAAAGCTCGAAATGGAGATAAAGCGCATTCTTTGCAAAAACTTTATCCAGTTTTGTTAGGTGGCGTGCTTTGTGTCGGTGGGCGACGTAGTCACACAAACTATTCATCCCACTTCAAGCATCCAGTGATCCTACGCAATGGAACTTTTGTGACCGATCTTATTATTCGCAACTATCATAGTAGAGAAGAACATAGTAGTACGTCACACGTTTTGTCAACGATCTGTGAAAATATTGGATTATCAAGGGAATCGGTGCTGTGAAGCGAGTGATGGATCAATGCATACTATGTCGAAAAATGAAAGCTTCTTCAGGTTAGCAGATGATGGCTCCTCTAACGCTATGCAGGGTCCAAAAGGGTTGATGCTGTTTTAAATCAACAGGGGTTGATTATTTTGGGCCTCTGTTTGTTCTTAAGGGTCGTGGTTTGGAAAAGAAATATGGCTGAGTGTTTACGTTTTTACAGATCTGAGCCGTGCACTTAGAGATAGCGGGCAATCTCAATACAGATTTGTTCATCTTATGTTTATTGAAGTTTATCGGTGTACGAGGAAGACCTCTAGATATTTATAGTGATAACGAATGAAATTTCTTGGGTGCCGTATCAGAATTAAAAGACGCAATTAAACGCTGGGATGGACCCAAGATTAACTACCGTCTTGCATGCGATGGAATAAAATGGTTCTTTAACCCTCCTTCCTCAAGTCATAGGGGAGGCGTATGGGAGAGAATGATCCACTCCGTGCGCAGGTTAATGCTTGTGTTGACAAAGGAGCAGATAATGCATGAAGAAACGCTGTAAACTTGTTTTGTAGAAATAGAAAATATATTGAATAGCCGACCGCTGGTATCTTGCTTATCGGATGATAACGAAAGGAAAATAGTTTATTATTGTTGACGGAGAATGATCAAAACCTAGAAGGTCTTACAATAACAGAGGGTTACAACAGACGGTGGAGACAAGTCAATCACTTCGCTACTAACTTCAGGCATCGATGGATGAGGAATTAAACATAAACCCTGCAAGTGCGAAAAAAGTGGGTTCGAAGCATCGCCATTCTAAAACAGGCGACATCGTACTAGTAGCATCCGAAAATACAAAACGTGACAAATGGCTAATGGGCATCATCGATGCAGTCGAAACAGACGGAGATGGACCCGTACGAACAGCTGTGGTGCATGCGGGTGACGACAAGATAAAACGAGATGTACGTCGTCTGCTTCTATTAGATGTAGCCGACTAGCACCCGAGCGATGGGCTAAGGGATGTGCAGGCGCAATGCTGTTAGTCCTGTACATTCCAAGGGAAGGGGTGTAACAGGCCTACTACTGTAAGTCCTGTGAACTCCATTGTTTCAGGAGAGTAACTATGAAGGGGGAGCCTGAACAAGAGACTAGCTAAGGTGACATTGCCCGCTCGGAGTGAAGAACTGAAAATTTCCCTAAATTATCTTGCATTTCCTTACCTTCCTTCGCCATTTTATCTCAAACATTTTCTGACAGTGGTTATCATGTCGGTTAATTGTCTATTCTGAATCTTCTATTTTACCTTTTTTACGAAGAAGCGTATTTATCGGACACGCGTTTTAAGTGCTTTGTGCCTATATGAAAATGAAACTCGGTGCTTTTATTGCTTTATTATGACCTCAGTTTCGATTGAACGCTCTCTGTTGGAGTAACCGTTGCTCCTCCGCCCAGTTGGATTGATAATTGTTTATCAGCAAGGAAAGTAAATGGACCATCCCGTTTGCTCTACGCAGGTCATCCTGCAATTGCTGCCGACTGGCTGATTCCACGATCTTGACATCATCTGCAAAGATGAAGCGTGTTAATGTAGGATGGCAGCCAAGTCATCTATAAAAACGAGGAACAGTAGGGGACCAAGCACTGGGCCCTATGATACTCCACTAGTGGGTATGGCTTTGGCCGATACTTTGTCCCCAATCCTCACTTAAAACGTCCGACCGGTCAGGAATTCCCTTATCCAGTTATGTATCTTTCCGCCTATCCCCTTGTGTTTGAGCTTGGCTAACAGAAACATGTGATTAACGAAATCAAAAGCTTTGGAAAAGTCTAAACNCATCCCGTTTGCTCTACGCAGGTCATCCTGCAATTGCTGCCGACTGGCTGATTCCACTATCTTAACATCATATGCAAAGATGAAGCATGTAGAACGTAGGATATCAGCCAAGTCGTCTATACAAATTAGGAACAACAAGGGACCCAGCATTGAGCCCTGTGGTGCTCCAATAGTGGGTATGACTTTAGCTGATACTTTGTCTCCAATCCTCATATAAAACGTGCGACCGGTCAGGAATTCCCTGGCCCAGTTATGTGTCTTCCCACCTATCCCCTGTTCTTTGAGCTTAGCTAACAGCAGCCTGTGGTTGACGGAATAAAAAGCTTTGCAAAAGTTTAAATAACAGACTTCCACAGCTTTGCCTTCATGTAACCTTGAGGTTACCTCATATAAAATACACAATAAGTTAGATAAACGTGATCTACCCTTGGTAAACCCGTGCTGTTGATCAGTGAATGGCGAGTTTCGGAGTAAATACTGTGCAATGTGCGTCCTCACTATCCTTTCTAGGCACTTGCACAATATACTCGTTAGGCTCACTGGCCTGTAATTCTGAATCTGCGATTGTGCTCCTTCCTTGTGAGTGGCAACAACTGCAGCTGTTTTCCAGTCCCTCGCTAGCTTGATCTGATCTAAACTGGCTTCGCATAACTCCTTTAGTGGCTCCGCTACTATATTTGCTATCGGCTTTAAGATTGCAGGGTGAATTCCACCGGGCCCTGGAGACTTGCATACGTTCAGCTCAGCTAATATTTGATGAACTGTCTCCCCTATTGTCACAGCACCGGTGATTTAACGAACTAACTAGTGCAAGAACCTG